ACTACTAACTGAACTACACATATATATATTATTATATATATATATATATATATATATATATATATATATATATTATATTGGGGGGTCCATTCTCTACACACCGAAATTGTTCATCTCTCTCTCTTCCTCCTCGGGTGGCACGTCACTCTCTCTCTACTATGATCTCTCTCTCTCACCCTCTCCAAAAGACAAAAGAAAAGAAGGGCCACGCCCCGTAGACAACAACAGAAGGGGGCACACCCCACATAGTTGCATCAAAAAGAGAGGCCTGATTTCCACATACATGCTCTTGCATTTTAAGAGAAGGGTTTGGCCGAACTTCTCATTTGTTGAGATTGAAGAAAGACAAATGATCGCATGCATCAATTTTGGAGGAGACCTGGTGTGGGGTGTACCAAGTTCATTGGGGGTAATCTTTCGGCAAACTACTGGATTTTGTTATATTGTGATTTTCTTGTTCCCAATCTCCATTTATGTATCTTTGATTATGTAATGAGAAAAGTTTTGAAAGGTGGCAGCAAGTGAAAATCCTTTTCTTGCTTTTTGTTTATTTTATTGAGTTGGAATTGTATTTCTTGGACATTTGTAAGTGTTCTAGCCAGTATTGCAAAAGAAAGTTTTAAACTATACATATTGTGCTAGATCACGACATCCACTTTCACTTTTCTCCCTTTTTAAGTGGCAAATATATTTTTTGCCCTTGACTGGAGGCATTTTTCCTCCCTCGCACAAACGGCATCGAGACGATAGCTAGGTGCTTACGCCCAGGTGCGCATCTAGGCGGCCCCTGAGTGCGTAGATGGTGTGGGCGCCTTAATGCCACAGTCGCCGGCCTAGGTCAATTCACTTCGGCTAGGCAGCCAGGCAGCGGGATTGTTCTACACTGATTGGAAGGATCCAACTAAGTAGGCTGCTTTGCATGCAAGCCTTCTGAAGTGGGGGCAAGATGGGCAAACTTGAGACAAACATGATTTTCTTCTTTATAAATAATATGAAGTTGGGAGAAGCCTTCCCTTTCTTGATAAATCTGATGTAGAACAACTCTGAATCCTTGTTAGTCCTAACCGAGAAAGTAGCAAAAGCTAAGATAAAATTACTCAAAAAAAGCAGAAAGCATGCATATGATCTCTAAAAATTCCTTTAAAAACAGTCTTTGAACATTACTTGAGGATCCATGTCCAGCTTGATAAAGTTCTGGTCTTCTGGTTTCCATCGTAATTTCTGAATAGAGAGCACCGGCAGTGGATGAATATGAAATATGAAGCTTGTCAAAAAAAACAAAAAAAAAAAAGATCTCATATGATAAATAGATCTCCAAAAACTTGGGTAGACAATGGGGAAATCCACTTGCTTTTTCAATAGTAACAACCTGCTTGCATTTTCTAAATCCTCCAAAAGGTGTTCTGATGCAAGGATGTTTTATATTGGATCACTTGCTCTTAAAGATAAGCATGTTCCTCTATTACCAGAATCACCAAACCATAATGGGGTTTGTCAGTGAACCTTAATTCTTGGAATTCATTGCCTTTTAAAATGAGTGAATAACCTATCCTCACATTCATGAATAGAGTTTCCAAAGAAGTTGAATGTTAAAATTCAGATCTGCAAAATAATACATTTTTTAGTGATTAGAGTACAATGCGAGGTGGGTGGTTCTTAAATAAGGCTCGCAAGGTCCACCCTATACATGAGCCGAAATTTCTTGAATGGTATGATCACGGCTGTAATGAGGCGAAAAATTATTTGTTGGTACAATTTTCTTATGTGCATCAAGACATAAATTTGACCAGCATTCACAGCAATCAAGGAGATAACACTCAAGGAACTGTGTCAATGATGCTAAGTCTCCTTATTTTGTTATCCTTTACTGAATTGCTTTCTCTACATTATTAACTTCTCCGTATTCCAGATATTTTCAAAATACTTTAGAAGCATTTCTTTGTAATGGTCTTATACATTGCTTGGTAGCTTATCTTTGTTTATTTGTATGGCTTTACAACTTGAGAACATTTGCTTTGTCTGATGTGCAGATGTGTATTCAGTGCAATTACAAAGCTAATGAGGCTTCCACGTTTAGGGTGTTATTTCCTAGTTATCGTGTTCTCAGATGTCATGACCATTCATTTCTTTTTCTTGGTATGTATACTCTTACTGATTTCCAGAATTTACTTTAAATTTGATGCAAAGCATGTTTCACACCCTTTGTTGTAAAGAGAAGGATATCATCGTTAGGAGTTTGGAAGAACAGAGAATTTAGCATTACATAATATCATATTGAGGATTTTGAGCATTATTGATACAAGGAATAGAAGAACCAAAACAATGAAATTAATATTTTGATATAGAACATGCAATAGTCGATGGCAAATTCTTCCAAAAGGTTTCATTCATAAGCTGGTACAATATTGCTCATGTAGTTTCTTCACTAATTTGAAAAGACGGTTACATATGGGCTTGACATATCTAATGTCCAGCTTGCATAATTTCTTAAATAAAGATGTCAGTCTAAACATCATCTCCTAGTGAAATATCATCTCATAGACTCCTAGTGACCTAATTGATTCTCTTAGATACCACTTCATGATTTGAGTGAGGCTATCAGGGGCAACATAATAATGTTGTGATGTATGGTAGTATTATTTTTCTTCTATATCAGTTCTGCATTTCTAATTTGTCTGAGGGCATCTTTGTAAATCTACAGTATACTAATGCCATTTTAATTATGGAAAAAGTTTATATAAGTGTGAGGCTCTAAACAATCAAATTGGGGCGCACCTCAAAAATTTCACTAGAAGAGGTTGTTTTGATACCCAAATATTCTCAAATTGATCATCTCGACCTCAAGATGCAGGGACATGAGAAAAAAATGGATTTCAAGTTTTGGAAATAGTGCATCTTGTAATGCATTTTTGGACTGTCAATATACAAGATTTTCAAGTTTTCATAGATCTACTCGATCTACACTGTTTTTTAAGCTTAAAATTTTTTAATTAGAGATGAAAATATATTTTAAGGCTATCACAAAGATTTCGAGTAGTAAAACCACATTTCTCAACACTATTTGAAAGTGCTCTTTACTGTGATTGTTTAGAGCCTTGGTTTTATACAAACCGTAACCTTTAATTATATAGGTTGTATATGCATCTCATAGAAGTTCTTTCTTATCCATGTATACATCAATTTACCCCTAAATCTTGAATCTCTTGCGTATATATTTGAATTATTTGCCTCTTGTCATTTTATATTGTATTTAACGCATTCAATTATATTGTTTGTAACAATTATTCAGGTAGAATTTCTTTTGAGCTCAAATCTAAATGAAAGCATGCCAATTTGATTGAAATCATTGAGTCCATCATTTCTTCCAACAATGAAAATGTTCAAGTTTACAAGGTCTCCTGGGCATTGGGATGAGACCATTTCTATGTATTGTGAATGATTATGATGAACATGTGTTAGAATGGGTTCCATGAAAAAAAAAAAAAACCAGATTAGTTTTTAAGACCTGTTACATCCCATGCCTATTGTAATTGTGAAGAAGCTCGTATCTCAAGCTTCTCATTATTTTGTTGTAGCTCTCTGTGGTGGCAATTGTTGGCAGTAGCGTTGGTAGATAGAACAATGTTGCATTCTGGGTTTTCACCAACAAAAACGAGTGAAGATATTTTAATGGTACTGAGAAACCATTGCCTTCTGACAGCCGACAATGCTTTCCAATAGTCACATCTAAGCGTGTCTTTAACCCCAAAAACACAAATAATTTGATCAATAGCTGTAAAAACCGGTAGAAGTCAGCTGCATCCGCTTCCACCCTCATGCTGGTCATTGTGTCCTTTTGTGGTTTCCAATGTTCAAGAAAGTGCAGGCGCCCGCCTAGGCATTTTGGGTGCATGGCCGCCTAGGCGCCCAAGAACAGCGTACCCTCACCAAAATTAAAATATCATATAATTAAGATATATAACATATTAATATCATTAAGATGTTAGTTTTAAAACAGTAACTTAATTTTACTTTGCAGTAAGACTTAAATGAAGATATATAAGATTTTAGTTTCACTTTCACATAAGACTTAACTCATTAAGATATCACATAATTATTAATTTATTAGATAAAGTAAATAAAAAATAATAGAATATCAAAACATGACACATTGTACAAAAAAGGAATCAACTATTCATAAAAATATGATATATGCCCAATTTCATCGTCCAAATAAGGAAAAATTCAATTAATCACAAGAAAAATCAATTTTTCGAGTACAAATATGTAGACATATTGTTAAAGAAAAAACCGTAAAAGAAGAAACAAACAAGTCACAAAATAATAGTTGTAGCAAAATCAAATCGAAACCTCTTTTCGAATATGATAATACTTTAAAAATATCAAATTCAAATCGATGTCGGCACAAACCTCGTCTACTGGATCACCAAAAGTCCTCAAAATTGACTACTAGAAGCTCCAAATCCACCCACGAACACAAAATTGCCTTTGTGTTGGGAATCTAAAACATAAAAATTTTATCGATCTTTTGATAAATCACAAAAGAGTGGTTTTTTAGGAGTTTTTCTCTTCCTAAAAGAACGCACGGTTTTGGTTTTGGGGTTTAGAATACCCCCCAAAACCCTTTTCCCCCCTTTTTAGGGGGCAGAAATGACTTTTTTTCCCCTTGCCAAGACCCTTATCTGCCTCTTTTGCAAGTTGTCATGAGGCGACACCTAGACGCAGGACGCCTTACAGTCTTGCCTAGCTAGCGCCTAGTCGTTTTTTAAATGTTTTGGTGGTTTCATCTATGGCTTGGCCAAACTCTGCTCAAGGACTGATTCCCCCATCTTTTTCGATTCGAGAGAACCCCACATACCATGGTAGTCAATTGCTTCCAAACTTTGACCCACAACAGAGTGGCATCCGAGATTTAGAAGACCTCTTTTGGACCTTGAAATCCCTGGATTTCAGGCTCTATCCTCCCTCTTATACTCCACCTTCTTATGTTTTTAGGGGAACGATAAGATGATCTGGTCCCCTCCCCCCTCTGGCATCTTTTCTATATCCTCTTTCTACAAAACCCTCCATTCTCACCCCCTTACCACCCTCATTCCCTCTACTATGGCTATGGCCTGGCTCTTACTCGTCCCTCCCAGGAGCCAAATGTTCAATTGGATCACCTTCTCTGGAAGAGCTTTGAATGTTGATCACCTCAAAAGAAGAGGCCTCCAGCTACCCAACAGGTGCACTATGTTCCTAGAGGAAGAGGAAACCAATGCGCACTCTATCGAGGCATCTGCTTCAGCTCTTCGGTTGGTACTGGGTGCCATGTCCACCATCCCTAAACTTGTCCAGGCCTTCTTCTCCCCTCTGTGGCCTAGACTGGATATTCTCCTTTGGCGTGCAGCCGTAGCCACTACACTCTGGGTCATTTGGCTAGATCGCAACAATCACACTATTTGAGGGGAGAAGACGCAGTAGCTGGCCCTTTTCGACAAAGTCAAATCCTTCATTATTTTCTGGGCCAAGAACCACCAGCTCTTCAAGCACTGTCCATACTTGGACTTCCAACTAAACTGGAGGAACTTACAGTCCCTTAGGATAGTTCGCATCTCTTGTTTTGCATCTCTTGCTTGCCTCTATGGAGACCCCTGGAACAGGGCCAAGTCAAACTTAACTTCGATGATTTCTCCCTTGGCAACCCGGGCCATGCTGGTAAGGGGGGCATCTTCATAAATTCCGGTGGCACCACCTTACTTTCATTCTTGCATATCGTTGGCCTTAGCAACTCCATGGTGGCCGAAGCCCTAGCTCTCCTGGTGGAACTTCGCTATTTCAACCCTTCTTAGGTTACAACTCTAGGAATCGAGGGGAATTCCAAGAATGTCATAGTTTGGCAATCTAGATCATCCCTTTGCCCATGGAGATTGGAGCGCATCTGTGATGAGATTTTCCACCTTCGCAGCACTGCGCACGTGCTTTGTCAGCATACATGGAGGGAATTCAGTGCCGTGGCAGACTCCCTCGCTAAGGCACCTCACAGCAGAACACAGGAGACATTCAAGCACCTTTTTGATCTCTAGACAGCACATTTTGACTTTACTTTCATTACCTTAGCATATATAGCATTTATTGGTCCCCTTAGGGGTTTTGGATATACGAACACCCGGTCTGTGGGTGGTTCATTTTTTGTACATCTTCCGTATCAATACAACAATTAACATTTTCACCGACAAAAAAAAATAAAGCGGCTAGAAGTTATTGCACCAAGTTGGTGATCTCTTAGCATTGGTGGTTGTCCCCTCTCTATTATCAACTAGTAATTTAAATTTTTCATCTTACAAGAATGGAGGTTTCTCTCTTGCTTCATTACCTCGTGGTAGCCATGAAATCATCCATCGGTCTTTGGAGAATGAGCATTTGTAGTTTTTGGCTTATTATTGAATATAACCTAAGACTGCATCCATTTTGTCGCCATAGCTAAGAACATAAACTTAAATGTTCACTAAATTAATCACATATATACTACATCTATGTCAAGAATTATATTGTCGTTAAAGAAATAACTCGATGTGATTTCACAGGTACGAAATACAGGTAGCTGGATGGAGATTGGTAACACCATTAGCCATTTTGGAATCATGAGTGCTCAGGTTGTATTCGTGCTACTACTTTTTGCCCTCACCAATGTTTACACAAAAAACATTGAAATCAGTTCACCCCATTACTCGTCTCACAAAGTGCTTTAGTCAAATCATCTTGGGTACCATATCTTACCCATCATTTGTATGCGGCCTTGCTTTGCTGATATTCAAAAATCTGTTGAGGGACATGGTTGTCATGTTCCATTTATTGGAATTTGCCACAGCACGTAAGCGGGTTGCAAAATTTTGTTACGTAAGCGGGTTGCAAAATTTTGCTACGGAATTATTTGTTATTTTTTTCAGTTATGGTAGTAAATAGGTTTTGAAGAATTATGTTATGATTCTCACATTTTTGACAAATGATTAATTGCCTGCCTAGCTGAGCAAGCAGGGTGTCTTACTGTTAGATCATCTCTCCTCTCATCATCTCTCTCTCTCTTTCTCTCGGCTAGCTGTTTGGCATTTCCTCCAAGAAATAGTACTGCACAAATTTTCACGATTGCTGCCTCCCTCCTCTACCTCCGCTTCCATGATTGTTTCATGTATATATATATATATATGCAATGATTTGATGCAACTGGTGTATCATAATATGATGCAACAACCTTAAAAAACTAACTTATAGCTATTTGTGTTATTCAAATTTTAAAATATACGCTCTTTTCATTTTAATGAACAATCACAAAAAAAAAAAAAATTGAAAGCACAATCTAAAAAGTAATTTTTTAGTCCAATTAACATAGGCTGTTCATTTTAGTGAGAGGTTTAGATCTAGCCCTTAGAAGGATTTTTTCTTTTGCAAATTTTTTGGATGTTAAAAACAAAAAAAATAATTGAGTTTATAAAAACCAAGATCTTGAAATTCACAAAATGAATGGTCTAGATTCATTTTTGAAAGGAATTGACTATATCTAGGGTTCAAATTGAACTTTTTTTTTAGGGGGGATTAATTATTGAGATGAAGAGAGTGTGTGCACAATTTGAGGTCATACAAATATCACAAATATGGTTTTTTAGAAGTGTCGTTGCATTATATTATGATACAACCGTTGCATTGGATCATTGCTCATTATATTATGATACAACCGTTACATTGGATCATTGTTTATATATATATATATATATATATATATATATATATGGGTTTTTCTAGAATTCACCGTACTAATGGTGATTTTAAAATAATTTACTCCAAATTTGTGGACAATAAATTGCTTTTTTTTATCACAATTACGTCAATATCTTATTTTCTATCAAATTAAGCAGGGGCATACGAGGGATTACACCCTACGGTAAAAAAAACCACGGCCAATATTTCTCCCGCTTAGATCTCTCTCCATGCGACTCTCTCAACTGTGAATGGGGTCTCTCTCTACAACTGTCATAAGTTAGCTATGAATGGGGTTCGAGAGAGAGAGGGGGCCCAAGCTTCCAAGGTAAGGGAGAGGGATGGAGGGCTGCAAAGCCTTGCTGTAAATGGGTTAGAGAGAACCCCAAGTTTCCAAGACGAGAGAGAGAGAGGGCTGCAAAGCCCTGCTATGAATGGGGTTAGAGAGAGAGAGAGAGAGCCCCAAGCTTCTAATACAAGAGAGAGAGAGGGCCCCAATCTTCTAATACAAGAGAGAGAGGGCCTCAAAGCATCGCTGAAATGGGGTTAGAGAGAGAGCCTAAACTTTTAAAACAAGAGAGAGAGATAGAGGGCTGCAAAGTCCTTGCTGTAAATGACTGAAGCCCTGCTGTAAATAGGGTTAGAGAGAGAGTCACAAGCTTCCAAGACGTGAGAGAAAGAGAGATAGAGGGCTGTAAAGCCCTGCTATGAATGGGGTTGGAGGGAGAGGGAGGGCCCTAAGCTTCTAAGATGAGAGAAAGAGAGGGGGACTGCAAAGACCTGTTGTAAATGGGCTTAGAAAGAGAGAGGGGCCCAAGCTTCCAAAACAAGAGAGAGATTAGGGGCTTCGAACAAGAGACTTTTGGGACTTCCATGAAACGGAGTTTTTGGGGGTTCTTTACAGGAGAGTGGGAGAGAGAAAGGGGGACAGTGGGGGCTCCGTAGGAGGAGAGAGGTCTTCTATTGAAATTACATCCCATACCCCTTTTTAATATGATGAGATGAAATATATTCATGTAATTTGATTGTTTCAAAGGCAATCTATTGCCCAATATTTTGGAGTATTCTAAAATCACTTTCGGTATGATGAATTTTAGAAAATCTATATATATATATATATATATATAATAAAAGAGAGAGGAGGGGTAGTAGTTATAGGTGCTCACACTATGAGTAATTTATACTATTAGTACTAA